CGCAGTGAAATAGCTCACGTTTTAATACACGCAAACCTTTGATAGATCCGGCCCTAAGAGGCCGCGATCCACATGCTGCTCCATCACCTCACTCATAACTTCTGTATTCCTGAACGAAAGGATAGCAATTCATCTTTTTGTCCATAGTTTTCATTTTTACTTAATAGTTAAAAGTTCCCTTCTTAATAAAGGAAAGATTTCCAAAAACAGAACCGGAACAAAGCTTGATGACTGAAAGTGAATTTAATTTTGTCTCTACTTTGTTTTTCAGTCACTGGACGGTTTCGTATTTGCACTAAACAAGGAAGGACGTTTCCTCTACATCTCTGAGACTGTTTCCATTTACCTGGGGTTGTCACAGGTAAGTCAACGCGTCTGCTTTCCAGCAGCATTTACTCGGCGGAAATGGTTTGCTGTAGGTATAAAAGTCGTTTGTTTCATTATAGCTCTTGCGTTTCCTTCTTTACATGTTTCACTCGTCTCCGTTCTGATTGTTTACCTCGTTTCTCTTCCTGTTTTGCGTCTCTGTTATTCTCCCCCTCTTCTATCATTTCATTTCCAAAGACAATTCCTCACAAATTAGGACTCATTTAAAATCTCATCAGCTCAGCAGACGCTTGTTGATTTGTGCAGTGAGAAACAATGCATATTTTACTGCGGCATGCGTGCCTGTGTGTGAACTGTGTGCGTGTTTGTGGGTGTTGAGGGGGAGATTTTTATAATTATTATTATTACTTCAGCTGTCGAAAGATATTAAGCATATTTGAATTCAAATGCAATTTCACATATACAGTATACATATTTATTTTTTATTTTCAAGCTGATGGGAAACTAAATCCCCGTCATTAATTCTGTTTATCTCTTCCCTTTATCGTTATTTCAGATTTTATATCGTCAGATCCAAAGTGTTTTTTTTATTCTTTTTTCACATCCAGATATGTTTTTCTTACTCATGATTGTGTTTTTTTCTTTTTTTTTCCACTCTCAGCTTTTGACCCCAATCTAACAGAAGTGGTCCTTATAGTATATCCTCATTACCTTTGCCTGCTTTGCATACATTAACTTTGAACACTCAGTATTTCCCTACGTTATGGAAGGCTGGAGGGATGTTTGTTGTCCTAAATTAGACGGCATTGCAAACATATTGTAGAATATGGCTGCAGATCCTATTTCTTGACAAGGATTACAGTTTAGGCAATACACTGATAGATGCAAGCATGTCTACAGTTTTTTATAATAATGTTAAAAAGACAAACAGAAGTAACAATTCGCTTTAAAAGCTCTTGTGATGCTCTCTGCATGATAGAAAGCTGCACCTTTTCTTCCTGTACACTGAACTGCCCATCTTAGATTTACATCCTTCCATAAAGCCTGTGATATTACGGTCCAGTAGAGTCAAACACCAGGTGAAGCAGATGCCATCCAGCTCTGTTCTCCCTGCTGGTGTCAGATGGAAAACGAGCTGAAGAGAAAAGCTGATCTAATTATTCTAAAGAGGAGTTAAACTTCTTTAAAATCGACTTTGTATGTGAAGTCGGTAAATTTATCTAAAACACAGTTGATTCCACACCTTGCTTGACTACTACTATGAAACAGTGATTTATTCATTAAAATGTTTCTTTAAAATTTTTTATGCTTCAATAACAAAACAGTTATTTATTTATTTATTTATTTATTNATTTGATATCGGCCAAAATCCCAATATCGTGCATCCCTAGTTCCTGGTGTTCAGTCACACCAGCATACCCATAGTCAAGACCCGATTATCCATTTAGTTTATTCCTTTGGTTTATCCTTTTAGTTTTGTACAAAAAATACACTTTAAACAACCTTAACGGGCATGTATCCCTTTAGACATATAAAAATAAACAATCTAATTACTTATTTTTTGGTGTTTTTTGAAGTGTATGGCAATCTTATTTTTTTATTTTTTTACATGCTCTTTGAGGTATTTTAAAGAGTATTTTTTTTTTTTTTTTTTTTACATGCTCTTTGAGGTATTTTAAAGAGTATTTTGTCAAACAAAACTAAAAGGATCAATACAAATCAGTCGTTTTATGCGTGCGTATTGACTATAGGCATGCTGGTCTGACAGAACATCGAGTTTAAACAGGTTTTTTGGTGAGTGGGAATGAGGTATTAGAGACGCCAATAAAACTAACAGTCATGTTTTTGTACTGTGAGAGGAAGCCGGAGTACCCGGAGAGAACCCAAACATGCACAGGGTGAACATGCAAACTTCATTTGGAAAGATCTCAATCCGGGAATCAAACCCAGGACCTTATTGCTGCAAGGCAGCAGAGCTACAAACTGAAGACCAAATTAAGATTAAAGGCAAACAATGTAATGTTCATTACTCTACATGTTTATTTGTCACCAAAAAGAAAAGAAATGAAGTAACATGTTTTTTCATGGGTGTTCAGAAGCAGATCTAGATATTAAACTGATGCTAGAAATAACCTGGGGGAGACCTGCAGTAACACCAACACCAAAGGAACTGGAAATTCTTATCAGCTTCTATAAAAACATCTTCTATTTTCCTTTTTATACACTAGTTGATTTTATTCTAATATGAGTTGAGAAATTAAGGGAGGACCTGCTG